ATCATGGTTGGGAAGATACCTCAGTGGGTGAAATGCTTGCCACATGAGCATGAGGGCCTGAATTCCCAGCACCCAAGGTCTGGCAGCATGTGTGTGTGCTGTTTTTAAAACAGAATCCCAAACTACCAAATGAAGACTCAGGAGCCAGATGCTGTGGTAAAAGCCTGTTAGCTCAGAGAAAGCACCCAACTGACCTTCCTACTCCACTAACCTCCTGGAAGGAAAAAAAAGGACTTAAATACCCTTCAACTCAAAGACTCTCCTTTCTGTTGAGTTCTGTTCACTCCCTGTCTGCTGCTTACTTGCTCTGCCTCTTGATCTTTATTTAGCTCTTAGATTAAAGGTATGTGCTAGGTTGACCTACACAAGTACTTGCTTATAGTAAATGGAAAGCTGTAGGATCAAAGGCTAAGGATACCACATTAGAAACCGGTTTTCATAGTTCACAATCTCTGGGTCCACAATGTAATCAAATATCCTGCAACATGTATGTATGTAATCCAAGCATCAGGAGGCATTAGAGGACACTCAGAGAGGCAAAGAAAGCACCAGAGGCTTGAAATAAATAAATAAATAAATAATCCAACTAGTTAATCAGTGAGCAGACTCAGTGAGACCCTTTCTCAAAAGATAAAGCCTTTGCATGTGCATGCCCTGCACATGCACACACGTTGAGGTCTGCCCCCCACGACCCCGAGTATAGCTGTAGCCATTTCATCCCATGCCTGCCAGTCATTGATGCAGAAAAATAGCTTGACTTAGAACAGGGTCATGCCCACCACATATGTTATGTTCTCAGATTTGTTAATATTAAGAAATTTCCCTGGTCTACAGAGTTCCATGACAGCCAGAGCTACACAGAGAAACCTTGTCTCGAAAAACCAAAAATAAAAAAAATTTTCTCAACCATAAGCTCTACTTAGGACCAATCAGAATATAGATCAGTTAGGACCAATCAGAATATAGATCAGTTAGAACTGTTCCGTCGAGCTAGCCAAAATAGCTTGAGTCAGAGCTGATAACAAGGCAGCACTTCCTGTACCTGTCCATGAGCTCACTGTGGTTTTTTCCTTTATAAACTAGCCCTGAAAAATGTTCAAGGTCCAGTCTTAGTTCCCAAGTCTAGGCTGTGACCCTGATCCATCAGTCTTGGGGTATATGCTCAATAAGCTATTCTTGCTTAACTGAGACTTGAGTCTGAATGGTTTGTGAACCCCAACATATCCACATACCATACACAAAAGAATTTAATAAAAACTAAAATTACTGACTTGTGTTTCCTGGTAGGTATAAAAGCTCTATATTTTAAAAGAGTTCTTAAGAATATTTAGCCGGGCGGTGGTGGCGCACGCCTTTAATCCCAGCACTTGGGAGGCAGAGGCAGGTGGATTTCTGAGTTCGAGGCCAGCCTGGTCTACAGAGTGAGTTCCAGGACAGCCAGGACTACACAGAGAAACCTTGTCTCGAAAAACCAAAAAGAAAAAAAGAAAAAAAAAAAAGAATATTGGATATCGCCAGACAGTGGTGGCGCACGTCTTTAATCCCAGCACTTGGGAGGCAGAGGCAGGCCTGGTCTACAGAGTGAGTTCCAGGACAGCCAGGGCTACACAGAAAAACCCTGTCTCAAAAAACCAAAAAGAAAGAAAAAAAGAAAAAAGAAAAAAAAAGAATATTGGACATCAAAACTGCACGGCACAGCACTTTCTTATTATAGTCAGTCCTAACACTTGCTCAGGAGACTGAGTGTCTAGAACTGCCTAGAGCTGAAGCCAGCATGGATTACAGATTAAGTTCCAGACTAACTTGCACTACAGATCAAACTGCTATCTTAAAAACGAAATAGAATGAACATATTATTTGACCAAAGTAATTGTAGCCACTACCACAGATGTCTAAGGGTGCTGAAGAATAAATACTAGTTGTTTATACAACTCAGCTCACCCTTTCTCCTTAGCACATGAGGTACCTGTATACATATAGTAAAGGTATGGAAGAACACAGAAGCCAGGCTTTGTGGTGCAGGACTGTAAACTCAACTATTCAGAGGGCTGAGGCAAGAAGAACATCACAAGTTCAAGACCTTCCTGGACTAAAGAATGAGTTCAAGACTAACCCTGGTTCTTTAGAGTCACAGAACGTGTGGAGATAATTTATTGAAATGACTTACTCAGGCTAGATGTTTCAGCTGGAATCCTAAGGATGTAGGTCCCAACAGATGTGCTGGTAGTAAGTGCAAACAGACAAAGAAGAACTCTTCCTTTTTCCATTGTCCTTATATAGGCCTCCAGCAGAAGCTGTGTACAGATTAAAGGTGTGTGCCACCATGCCTGGACCTAAGCTTTTCTTGGGACTTGTTCTGTCCCAGGCTGGCCTTGAACTCATAGATTTGCTAGCCTCTATCTCCTGGGATTAAAGGTGTGTACCACTTTGCCTGGACCAAAGCTTTTTAGAGCCACTATGCCTCATGATTTGGAACAAAAAACAAAAAGCAAGCAAACAAACAAAAAAGCCTGTGTCTTCTAGCCTGGCTGGAATATCTGGATCACAGGTGTGCCTTCCATTTCTGGACTGTAGTTCATGCCACATATAGTCAATGTGACAAATGGGAATAGCCATCACACCCTGCCTGTTCTAAAAATTTAAAGGAGGTTGGGGATAGTTCAGTGATAGAGTACTTGTTTAGATGTGCAAGGCCCTGCATTCGATCCCTAGCACAAGAAAGAAAGAGAAAGGGGGTTGGAGCCACAGGCTGGACTCAATGCAAGCTGTATGGTTTATGACAAATGACTTAAATGTCAGTGTGCTCAGGTTTCCTCATCTGTTAAAGTACATACTTTACAGTAGTGTTGGGTGACTGAGTTGACACTTACTGATAAGGTCCTTGCACACCACCAAGCAGAGTAGTATATACTAATAAATGTCAATTCTCATCACACCGTTTCTAAGTCTTTTATGTGATCTGTCTCCCCTCCCGTAGAAAATCTCAATGAATGCCATCTCTATTCAGAGACAAGGCACCTCACAGAAGTTACACAATTACCACATTTTAAGAAGCAATCGACAGGACAGCCAGGGCTACACAGAGAAACCCTGTCTTGAAAAACCAAACCAAACCAAACCAAACCAAACCAAAAAAAAAAAAAAAAAAAAAAAAA